AAAACGTATAATATCCTTCCCACTATAGTGGTGTAGGGTATAAAAATAATTCCTTAAGGAATTAGTTGAATGCTATACACAATTCAAAAGAAACCACACCTTATTATGAACTGAAATTATTCCTTATATATATTTTTCTTAAAAAAATCTTACTTTAAAATTGATCATTTGCAATTAAAGCACTGAAAATACTAAAAAGATTTTTACGAAAATTTCAAAAAACCTTGCATAGAGAAATAATATTGCTTTATCAAAAAGATTTTATCATTTCCATTAGACAGCTGGTCTACTTAAAGTAAAGTAAATTCTGTCCTTAATATCTACAACAAATTCTAGCCTTTCCTTCTGCATACATGTGTTAATTAAGCACATATAATAATTTAATTATTATTTTGTTTTTTTTATGTAAATAACATATTTTAGTTTTTCTTTTATATTAAATTTATATTTATAAACTAATGCTTGTTTCTTAATTTAAATTTAAGTTTTTTTTTAGAATTTCCCTTGTAACAAAAAATCAAAATCCTTTAACATAAAAATAAAAAGTCAGTTTTTGAATTTTGGTTTTTGTTTTTTTTTTAGCTTTCATATTTCATTTCACTTCTTTATATAAATTAACATTACAAAAATCTTAGTTTTACATTTAGTTTTTTATATATAAATATTTTTTATTTTTTTGTTAAAACACATTTAATTTTACTTTTGTTTTACTAAAACTACTTTATGATTAATTTTTATATACTTAATTTATTTTTATATTTATATAATAACATACACACACAAGTGTTAAAGTATTTTTTTTTTATTTTTTTTTTTTTTTTATTATTTAGCTCTTTTTTGCTTTTAGATATTTATACATATTTTATTTGCATTTTAATTTTGTTGTTGTATGTAACTAATATTTTATTGCACATATGCCTTTTTATGTTTTTATATATATTTTTTTTTTTTTTTGGTTAAAATAATTTATGTATATATTTTGTTTTATTTTTGTTTTAAAACTAATTTTTTTTCTTGAAGTATTTTTAACACATCTATGTATAGCACTCGTTAATTTTATGTTTTTTTTTTCATTACACTACAAATATATTTTGTTTATTTTCTTAGTTTAAATTTTCTTCACAATAAAACCTTTTATCTAAATATATTGTATGTTTTATAGTTGATTTGGCTTAAATATATAAAAAACTAAATCATTTGTGTGTGTTTTTTTTAATCTGAAATCAACAACAGTTTTAACAGTTTCAATACAAAATTCTTTTTTTTTCTAAAAAATGCTCAGATTTTCTTTTTTTTATATATATTAGAAATATATACGTAAAAAAGAAATTATAAAAAAGGTATAAAAGTAACAAAAATTTTTTATATAGTGGCAGTGAACTAAAAAAATAATAACATAATTAACACTACTACAATGCTTGCTTTAATGGAGAGAGGGAGAAAACAAATTAACAAGGATCATATATAATTTTGGAAATTATTTGTAAATAATTACGAAGTTGCAATATATGCCTTTTTAATGTAAACATTTTTTTAAGATTTTCTTTATACATAGTGAGCGTATGTGGAATATTTAATTCGGTATTTTAGCTAAATATGTATTAAGTATACGTAGTGTGGTTGCAGGTTTAATAACAAATAGTTAGAAGTCCTTTAAATTAATCTTTAAATTTTTATCTAAATTCATTTAAATCTTTCTGCATTCCAAAAACTTCTTCGAGGCGTATGTGGAATATTTAATTCCTTGTATTAATTAAATATCACCTATACGTTGTGTATGGAAAGCTTTAACTTATTACTTGTAAATTGTTAATATTTCATAATAATCGCATTGAATTTTCAAATTGCGAAGCTTTTAAATATAAATCCATTAATGTGGTTCTCGATAAGATTTTTTTTTAATCTTCATATCTTATTCTATTCTTTTACAGAATAAACTGTAAAATATGTCCATTTTATACAGCTGAAATTATAACGATATAAAGAATTGTTAAAAAAATGTAAAGGATAAACTAGAAATTTGCCCAAGAGCACGGTTTCATCATTAAATGAACTCTTTCTAAGAAAGCACAATTGGTGGTCTAAGACTGCAACAAAATAAGGGTTGAACAGAACACAAAACCTTTTCCACAACAGTTCAAGCGAATATAACAATTGCTTGAAAAAGATTTCTAACACTCCTTGTTTTTTTTTTCATGGCAACGGTCAATATTATAAAATGACTTGGCCCAGAAGCAATATTTTCATTAAACCATTTCCTAGAAATTACAATAACTTAATACTAGGAAATATTAAGATAAAGAAGGGTTGAAAAAATCTTTCTCTACATCACTTGAATAAGAATTGTTTTGATATATTACAATTGAGATTAATATCTATATAAATATACAGTTTAAAGTGACTCATAGGGTATTGCTGTAGTTTTTATAAAATTTATATATTTTATCGATCTTACACTGTGTATTTTTGAAAGGATCCTAATTGCTTCCGCCTGTTTGTTTAAACTAAAGGTCACAATTTTTAAAATAACTCGTCGAAATTGAATACACATATTAGTTAACCAAGGACGGGAGTAGTCAGTTTTGAATGACAATTGCTGTACTATTAGGTAATTGGGATTACTAGCTATATAAATACTTAAGCACCCTTCACTCATTTTACTTTTTCATTAGACTTTACGTAAAGTGTGATCGTGTGAAGCACCCTTCACACGATAACAAAGACATTGCAGAAGTATTAGTCTAGTCTTTGAAACAGTTATTATATAAGCCTATCTTTGACTACCTAATATATCAGCCATTCTCTAGAGTCGGAGACTTATAAAGTTTTCTTTACGATGTTTGTAACATTAAACGAGAGTTTATCAGACTATTCGTTCATCTGTCTCTTGGTCTGCCTATAGTAAAGTTCACAATTTCCACAATAATTGGACAAAACTTAAAACTAGTGTTACTTTTAGATCAAGGGAAAACCCAGTTAATTTTGGTTCAAATCTACTCTTTTTTCAAAATGAAAATTGGGGTAATATTCTGTAAACCTGCATTCTCGTAATAAAGTTTGGCATACTCATGTACACTAGGATTATAATTTTTATAAAATTTTTGGAAATTTCAAATCGGCCCTATCCATTCCACATAGAGCATAAAAATATACGTCGAAAAACTATATTACTTTTTCTCGAGCGTTAATAACGTTTCCGTGGCAATACTTTGAAGTTTTCGACATATACGGAGAAAATTCATGGATAGAGGCTGCAGGTTACCCCCCTTTCAAAATTAGCTTCAAAATATGCATAGTATACTATTAAAAATACATGAAAATATGTTTGTGAATGGTTTCAGAAAATCGATATGCCTCGGAAGGTTTTTGCACCAAAATGTCCTGAGAAACAGGTTTTCGTTTTCAGAACACTACTGGCTACTACGTAGTGATAGGGCCTAATTTTGGTTATAACCCTAATGTACACTTTAACAATTTTGTGATGATCAGTATATATGTATTTGACTAAAGCTTCCAAAGAGATTAATCACTTTTCCGTATCGAAATTTGACGGTTGTTCCATTACAAGACTAAGAAAATTTACTAATAAATAAATAAATTCTTTCGAAAAAACTTTTCATTTTCTATTTTTATATATTAAATAAATAAAAATCAATTTATCTTTAAATAATTATACATGATCCTTGGTAAGTAATTTTCTTAAGCTAAAGATTTTAGCTTAAATTTTTAGGAAAATAACGACATTGTTAATTTTTTTTTGTAGAAATATAAATATGTGTGTTGTTTTCATGCAACAGCAAGTAATTATATGTAAAAAGCCATACCTGTGTTTCTAAGGACATGTTGATGTAAATGTATGTAAGTACGTATGTGTTGTATTTTTGTTTTATGTCTGTATGTGTGTATACATTTGAAAATATGTATTTATGTATATTTAATATTCATGTCAATGTTGTTGATGTTGTCATTATTAATATTAATAATATTATTGTTATTTTCATTTGTTTTGTTATTAACATCTGTACAAATATCTAATGTGTGTGTTGATTTTGTATATATGTCACTTGAATTCTAGGTATATAAACGCTAGAGTTGTTGTAGGGTTTTTTTTATAATAAATGTATATATTTATATATATATAGCTATATTATGTATAAGTTATATTTATATATATTCTATAAGTGAATATTACTTATAAACTAAATTTAATTTATAATTATTATTTTTTTTTTCTTTGCATGGGTTTTTTTGCTGTTGTTGTTTTTATGTTGTTTGCCTTTAATTTGTTGGGGACATGGGGTTGCTGTTGTTTTAATTAATATTTTATTAATTTCTTGTTTTTTGTTTTGCTTACATTTTTGTTTAATATCATTATCAATTTTTAATATCATTCGATGGAATGTTGATTGTTTTAAAATATATTTTTTTTTAAATTGTCTTTATATGTAGTTATGTATGTTTGTCTGTTTATGTATGTTTATGATTTAAAATATTTTGTTATAATTCCTAAAGTATACATATCTATGTATATCATGTATAACTTTAATACATACTATATATATATTTTTTTTTCTTTTAGTATATGGGCTAAATAACTACATCTAAAATGTGGTTATTGGTTGCTGTTGTTGGTTGATTTTTTTTTTGTAATTTCTCTAACTTTAAATTTGTAAGTTGTTGTAATTTAAATTTATTTATATTTTTTGTTATATTTGCCATTATTTTTGCATGTGTATGTTTGTGATTTTTTTTGTTTAAAATACATTTTTCCCTATTTACTTTTGCATTTTCTAAATATTTTCATTTAATTTTCTATTAAATTGTAATTGTTGGTTTTCTGTAATATTTTGTATGTATTTATAAATATTGCAAATATTTTCTTTTCTGACTATTTTAAAATGTATTTTTCTGCTTTATTTTTTTTTTGTTGTAATTGTTGTTGTTGTTCTTTTAAACTATATCAATTTCCATTTTTTTTTTTTCAATATTTAAATTAAGTTTTAATTCTTTGTTGTTTTTTTGCTATCTTTTAAATATATATATGTATATATGTTTTTATATTATTTGTATGTCTGTCTGTCTGTGTTTTATTGTTTAACTTTAAAAATCTTTATTTAAAACTAACATAATAAATTTGCTGCTAACCATTCATCTTCTGGTAACTGAAATTAAGAAGAAGAAAAGAAAAAAATACATAAAAATTTTAATTATCTTAAATTTCACAAAATTTTTGTTTGTAGACAAAACATATACAATTTTTCAAAATATCAAGAATTTATACATTTTGTAAAGAAATGTTTTTTTAAAAAAATGTATGTTTATAAAAAAAATATATAAGAGAAATGGTGAAAAAATTTAAGTGATTGTTACTGGTTTGTCTGTATTTGATTTAAATATTTTATGGTGTTTAAAGCATTAAAAAAATCTTTATTACAAAGTGATACAAAAATAAATTTAAATATTTAGGAAAAATTTTAGTTTTTTTTTTTATTATTTATAAAATAAAGCAGAAAATTTATTTTGTTATTTTACAAGTAGTTTTTTGTTGTTGTTGCTTAAATTTTTGGTTTCAATTATAAGTTACGCATAAATGTAGGAAGGCAAACATTTTTTTTAAGTTTAGGAAGTTTATGTTAATGCTATTGAAAATTTTATAGGATTAAAATAAGTTATACATAAAAATCATTAATTTTGTTTAAAAATAAGAGAAATTAAAAAAATATACAAAAACACAGATTATAAATAGGCATTTTAAATCATTATACGTTTAACTTGACGTTTTGTAAGCAATTTCCTTATGTGTTGAACTGCATGACGTATAAGTGTTATTGAATTTTTAAATATAACGTATACGCAATGGTAGATAGAATGAAATTGTCTTATGAAAACACACACTTTTTATGAAGTGGGAGAATTTTTTTTAATTCAACTATTAGTTAAAGGCAGACATGGGGGATAATGACTATATTTTTAATTACAATTACATTGTAATTGAAGATTCACCAATTACAATTATTTGTAATTGTAGTTGAAGTTTCGCCAATTACAATTACTTGTAATTGTAATTGAAGTTTTGCCAATTACAATTAGTTCTATAGTAATTGAAGAGTTTGCAGTTACAATTACTTGTAATTATAAATTTTGCTCTTTATAATTACATGTAATTTTGTAATTAGTAATAACCAAAATACAATTACAAGTAATTTTAATTGGAAACTTCAATTGCAATTTCAAGTATGTAATTGCAATTGGCAAAACTTCAATTACAATTACAAGTAATTGTAATTGGTTATTGGTCAATTACACTTTACAAGTAATTGTAATTGGAAAAACTTCAATTACAATTACAAATAATTATAATTGGTTATTTCTCAATTACACATTACAAATAATTGTAATTGACCATGTAGTGAATTACTTTGTGTAATCATAACCCCACATGCCTGGTTAATGGTATCGAAAACACTATTTAATTTTTAAAGTAACTGCTTACTTAACTTAACTTAATTTCTAGCAATAAGAATGGTTTACATACTTTTGATTAAATTTACCAAACAAGTCTGAAATGCTCATACGAAGAAACTGCCAAATTAAAGAACCTATATATGGTCATATGACTGGAGAATGTGTGAATAGCTTTGAAGCTAACATAGCTTTAAAGCTAACAATGACTTGAATTCCATAATTCTCTTATTATTAATATTACGATGCAATTCAGCATAAATAACTTTTATGTAAAGATAAATCCACAAAATTTTACGAAGATCGGGCGATATTTAACCCTATACTCCACATATAAAGCATCCTTCAGAAAATCAGTTGTTGACAAATTTTGAATTAAGAACAAGTAAGAGTGTTATATTCGACCATGCCGAATCTTATATACCCATCATCAAATCACTGCCGAAAAGAATTGCTTCCTTATAAATAAACTTTGAATTTATGAATCGATTCTTTAATTTTCTGAATAGGGTGGGGTCAATTATTGACCGATCCTCAGAAAATTTGGTAGAAAGATTTTGGTTCTTACAAAATATTTTATGCTGAATTTCATCGTTGTACTCGTATTTTTAAGCTAGTAATGAGCCGTAAAGTCATTTTCCTAAGGGGAATTTATATGGGGGATAGGGTCAAATATAGACCGATCTACATAAAATTTGGTAGAGAGATTTTGGTTCATATATGTCGAATTTCATGTTATAACGGTGTTAACAGTTATGACTGTTAAAACTGTTTTGACATTGAAAATCATTTAATTTCATGAAAAAATTATGTATATGATTTAAAAACACCCATTAAATTAAAAAACATTGCGATATTAAAAAAAATATTTTTAAATTTAAAACAATAAAAATTCGTTTACTATTCTTTGTTAATAGCTTTGCTTAAAAATAAAAAAATAAGTAAGTATAAGTATTTCTTAATGCTGTTGTTTTTATATAATTTTTAGGAACTTTTTAAATATTAAAATAATATTTAATGTAAATATGTAGATAAGATATATGTATGTATGTCAGTATGTATTAATGTAACAATATATAGTATGTAGGTAAATTTATAGTTTAATGTTTATGTATGTACGAATGCATGTATTTGGTTGTTTTTGTTGCGTTTAACTTGTTTACATATATAAATACTTATTACTGGCTAATTACCGTTGTCTATTTTTAGGTATTAAGTGTTTTTTTTAATAGAAACTACAGGATTTTATTAAATAGCTTTGCACTAATAATTTTAGGAAATTTTTGGTTTTGATGCTTGTTTTTTATGCATGAGTTTTACTATAATTGAATTTACGTGACACTATAGTGCCAGAGAGAGAGAGAGAGTGTTTGAAAGAGTACTGGCTGGATGAGTGTGGGTGCTGTATAAGTATGCGTTTGTGTTATTATGGTGATGACTTGGTGTTGGTTTTAATATGTTGCTAGGAATTTTTTTAATTATTTGAATTTTTATACTCATAAATATTCACTAGTTTTTTTTCCTAGTTAATCTCATTGCACTTTTTTTCGCTAAAACTTATCAAAAGTATCTAACGTTTTTCGTTTCTTTTTTGACACATAAACATATAACTTTTTTTTTGAAGAATTTTGTTTTTCTTCACCAAAACGTAAGTGTGCGTTTTTAATTTTATAAATATAATTTAAATTTAGGTTTAGTTTTTTTTTATTCATTTGTGAAATAAAAATTCAAATGTTTTTTTTAAGATTTTTAGGCACTAGTGCTATTTTTATTAGGTTTTCTTTTATATATGTATTATACATATATAAGTATGTATGTATATATGTAAGTATATAAAAACTCATCTTAAAAGTTCAGTTGTTCGTTAGTTAGTTAGCTAAGTTTAACTTTGTTGTTTTTTTTTTTTCATATTATTTTTTTTTTGGAGGGTTGAGGAATAAAATTGTTATGTTATTTTCTATATATTATACGAGTACTTTTACGTTTAACTTTGCAGAAGTATGTATAGTATAATTTTGTGTATAATGTTCTTATATGTGTGTATGTGTGTTTGTCGGTTTGGAGTGCTAGTTTTTGTTTGTTCTCAATTGTATTTTATATAGTTTTGACATTTTTAAAGTCAAAATAAAAAAAAAATATAATAATAATGTGCACTATTGTTGCTTAGTATTATTTTGTTTTGTTTGTTATCTGTATGTCTTTGTGGAAGCATTTGAAATTGCTTAGACAAAGTTAGTTTGCTATTTTAGCTGCAAAAGTAACAAAACTTATAAAAAGGAAAACTTAATATTAGCTGGGGATATTAAAAAAAGCAAAATTGCTTTGCTATATGTTAGTTGTGTGTATTTTTTTTTTTAGTTTAAACTTGTGTTTTTTTTTTCGTCCTTTTGGAAACAAATTATTTTGGAATTAACGAAAACCACTTTTGAAAAAATGTTGTGTCTTTTATTACAAGAGAAGTTTGGAAAAAAAAACTTTGCAATTGCAACATATTTGCTTAACATGCTATCTTTAAGTTATTTATAAGTTTTGTTTAAATAAGAAACAATTGAGGTCTTGTTTAAAAAGTAGTAAGAATATCATTGATAATTAAATTGATCTAAGAAGAGTGTATAAAAGCTTGTGCTTTTTCAAAAAGCTCTTTTAAAACTTTTTCACCAAAAAAAGCTTTTGTAAAATTTTTACACAGAGAAGAATAAGAAGCTTTTTTAAACTTCTCGCAATAAAAATTATTTTAACTATTGATATTTTTTTTTTTTTTTTCAAAAAAAGCTTTCTTGAACAAAAAACTTTTTGTATTATTTTTAGTAAAAAATCATTTTTTTAATAAGAAGTTATTTGACAATTTTAACCATTTCACAAAAAAGCTTTTCGAACTCTCTTAAAATTATTTTATTTTAAAAATTTTGGAGCCATCATTAAACTTTCTCACATAAAAAGCTTTTTTAAACTTTTCACAATAAAACTTATTTTAACTATAATTTTTTTTTTAAAGCTTTCTTGAACAAAACAATTTTGTATTATTTTTAACAATAAATCCTTTTTTTAATAAAACGTTTTTTTGACCATTTTAAACTTTTCACAAAAAAGCTTTTCGAACTTTCTTAAAATTATTTTTTTTTTAAATTGATTTTTATAAAAAGAGCCTTTTGGAAAATATTTTGGAACCATTAAAAAAAGGTTTTAGAAAAATTTTTCGCTAGAAAACTTCTCACTAAACTTTTTCACATAAAAAGCTTTTTTAAACTTTTCACAATATAAATTATTTTACCCATTGATATTTAAAAAAAAGCTTTCTTGAATAAAAAGCTTTTTGTATTATTTTTAACAAAAAATATGTTTTTTAATAAGAAGTTTTTTTTGACTATTTTAATCTTTTCATAAAAAAGCTTTTTTAACTTTTTTAAAATTGTTTTTTTTTTTTTCAAAATCAGCGTTTTGGAAAACATTTTGGAACCATTAAAAAAGCTTTTTTTGTAAAATTTTTACACAAAAAAGCTTTTTGAAATTTTTTTCGCTAGAAACATTTTAATTAAACTTTTTCACATAAAAAGCTTTTTTAAACTTCTCACAATAAAAATTATTTTAACTATTGATATTTCTTTAAAAAAAAAGCTTTCTTGAAGAAAAAATTTTTGTATTATTTTTAATAAAAAATACTTTTTATAATAAGAAGTTGTTTTGACTATAACCTTTAACC